ATCGTTACCCCCCTTGAATAATATTCTTTCCGACCCTGTATATATATTAAATAGAAAATATTTATTTACCTTTCGCCTTGTCGAATAAATGATTGAACATTTGATGTTCGACCTGTTGTTCTTGCTTGAGCACCCAAACAAAGACAAATTGCATTTGCTATTGTTGATTTTCCTTTAAAAAAATATGAATGTTTTATTTTTTTCAACAAAAATCCTAAATAAATTATTCATATATATTTTACCTGAACCATTAGCACCAGTTATAATTTGCATAGGTGTTGAATGAAATTCAATAGAAAAATTTTTATGACACATAAAATTAAGCATACGAAGTTCTTTAATTTGACCAATTGTATGTAATCGTTTTTCATTTGAATTTATTATTAATTTCTTTTTTTTAGTTTGTGTCGATGTACTTGCAATAATGTCATTATTATTCAAATCGAACTTTGATTGATGAGGTCGTTTTGAATTACTCATCGTCTAAATGAGATATAATATAATAAAAACAACGATGTTTATATACAACTAATCTATAAATATACAACATCTTTTTAAATTTCAATCATTAAAGTGTCTTTTTATTTTTCTTTTCAAACTATGTTTCTCTAGACAAATAATTTCCTTATGAATATAATTAAAATTTCGCGCACAATTTTCTTCTCAAAATTTTCGTTTTTTGGTAGCGCAATGGTATAATTTCAAATAATATCCATCGATTGAGTACATTTTGGAACCTAAAAATCAGATTTATATTACGAAAATATACATTTTTTCTTGTTTTGCTCTCGCATAGTGTCTAATCGAGCTAAAACTATATTGTATACTATTTGAAATAGGTATTTGTTTCAAAAAATATTGTTCTACTGATTTTTGGTAGCTTTTACAAAAAAAAAGCTCTATTCAAAAAAAACACACGCGTTTCTTCAGGGTATCTTCGATATTTTGTCGTTTTTAATCGAAGGACAAAATGTATAGTGTCTAATACGTGTAAAAAAATTTATCTAATAGAAAACAGCATCTGAAAATTTTCAGTCTCTGACAACTATCAAGATCTATCTGTGAATTTTTCTAATGAATCGTTCTTCAGAAATTCCGGAAAGGGTGAGAACTCTTAATAACTTGAGTTCGTATGAAAAAACTATTCAATACCTTAATATTCTTCAAGAAAATTTATCTATATATGTAACCAAATAACTGCTTCGAAAATTTTGCTTGTTATCTGATGCATGCATTGCATTCTTACATTGGTTCACACATAGTTTAGTGACCATGAATAGCAAAATTCCATAAATATTAACAATGATAATTTTGCTTTTTTTACATTTAATTTAAAATTCTTTTCTTTTTTTTTTGTAAAAAATTTTCAAAAATAGCAGCATGATTTTTTTTCTAGAATAATACATCAAACACTCTAAAGTACGATAAAATATAAAACAATTGCTATATAATAGAGCAACCAATGTGTTCCAATAGTAGGTGTACCAAGTAAAAGTAAAATGGATTGGACATTTTATAATATATTATATATGTTTGTTACATAAATTAATGTCTATCAAAAGATCAGATCAGTTTAGTACGAAAAAGACGCGAACTGATCCAACTTTTAGTGTTTATTTTTTTCCTTTCCTTTTCTTTTGATTGCATGCGACGATAAAATTAGAACGGATATTTACACCTTATTCGTATCAGTCTATATTCTTCATCAAAGAAAAAATTGCGAACATAATATTTTTTGTTATTATTAGATAGTAAAAACCTTGATCTTCGATATTCTTTGTTGACAAAAAACAGAATATAAACATATATATTGTTCGTGGGAGCAAAGTTTATGAAAATATTTTATTTTAGATTTCAATTGGAATTACTTTAGAACAATTTTAAGTATACAACAATGAATTTCAATTAAAATTATAACTTGTCACATGTTTAAACTATGATAAGATATATATATTATATTTAAACTATTTACCTGGTAATATCAAACATCGAAATAAATTTTACAAGCTAGAAGCTCATTTATTAATGGATGAAAATACTTTGTTCAAAAGAAAAATCGTACAAATAAAAAGACTACTCAACTGTACATTGCCCATACAATAATTTTTTTTTCCCAAAAGTATGTTGATTGGTTTATTAAAATGATTAATTTTAATCAATCGACGATAGATGTCGTTAGTGGAAAGAATTTTTAAATTAAATTATATTGAAATAAAGAATCTAGAAATGATAAAATAATTTGTAGATATTCATGTACATATGAGATATTTTAAGAACTATATTTCAAAGATAAAAATTCATGAAATTTTCATTCACAGTTAAAACTCCAAAATTCTCGGCAGAAAAATAAATTTAGATTTTACATTTTCCTCCTGTGTTCATCTCTCTCCCATATAAGTTTATGTTTAATATGCGACAGATACATTCTGAAGCTACGAAGTAGTTCAATAGACATTATTACTGCCCGTGGCGGTAAGGTACTTGTTTAGTTTGTTGTTACATAACAACCCTGGAAGGTCGATTATTGTAAATGGTAACCATGAGAATCAACTAACAACAACTCAATATCATGGATCATCATTTAAAAATACAATATAAATAACTGTGAAGAATAGTAGTGATATTTATGAATATCAAATTATTTGAAGTTAACAACCATTGATGGCAATAGTACTGACTAAGGTAATGGGTGGATGAAGAGATACGAGTTGAAAGATGTAACATTGTTGAATGACTGCAGTATGAAGTCGTTGCAATACTGACAGAACAACAATGTTAAAAAAAAACACTAGTGAACGTATGTTAAAGGGCAGCTAAGGTTGAAACGACTATGCGAATGTTTCGGTGCACTTTCCTTTCTAACAACGGTCTCAAGTTACTCCATTATTCTTCATCTCAGTTGTATTTGTTTCCGCTTCGAAAGAAAAAGAAAGAAATAAGCTGGTGTTAATAATAATAAACGTGGTTGTATATCGGTTGTAAACAATTCAAATTCATTTATCATCCATAATAGGTATATAATACTGACCCTAGTCAATCACTTAATGATCTGTATCTTGTCTTTTAACACCATTTGTAAAATATCTGAAAAATAAAACAAACTTACCTCCATCTTTCTAGTTGATTGTGAAGCTTATAATTTTTTTTCAAAAAAAGAGAATAAATGTTCAAATTTCAAACAACGTTTTACATAAATATCAAAGCGAGAACACAATAATCAATGAACAAAAGGTAACGGAAAAAAATTGAGTTGTTCCTAAATCGTTTCGAGTAAATCAATCTTTTTTTTCTTGAATAAAAAATTGTTACACTAATTTGAAGCTCGTAATGTACCTACAGGAATGTTCACTATTGAAGGAGAGAAGATAAAATAGACCTATTCAAAAATTTATTGCTTTCTCTAAAAAATTGGTTTTGCGCTACTTATGTCTGGTAGTCGAACTTCTGGCGACTACTCTATATTTAAATTAAAATTTCGAAAATAAATCAATTAATTTCATAATAATCTTCTAAATGCTTTTTCATCATGATAATATATGTTCACCTTTTTGATAATTCTTTTTCATTAAAAATGGATTTTCTTAATGAAACAGTATTGTTTTCCACATCTATGATCTGGTCTTAAGTACAATAAATTGCTCGATTATGATCGAACCAGTTTTCATTTCTCTACTTTTATATAACAGTTTGAAAAGTAAAAATATTTTGAAACGTCGAAATCTCATAGATTGCCGAATACCCAAGGGGGAAACAGCTGATTTAAATCAAAAAAATCAAAAAAAAATCAAAAAAATCAAAAAAATCAAAAAATCAAAAAAATCAGAAAATTTTTAATTTCTTTTGTTCAAAAACATCAATCAAAAGTGAAAACAGCTGAAATCAGACTTTTTTTGATTTTTCTGATTTTCTTTGATTTTTTTGATTTTTCTGAATTTATTGATTTTTCTGATTTTTTTTTGATTTTTCTGATTTTCTTTGATTTTTTTGATTTTTCTGAATTTATTGATTTTTCTGATTTTTTTTTGATTTTTCTGATTTTTCTGATTTTTCTGATTTCTTTTTTGATTTTTCTGATTTTTTTGATTTCTCTTTTGGTTTTTCTGATTTCTTTTTTGATTTTTTTTGATTTAAAGTCAATTGATTTAAATCAAAAAAATCAAAAAAAAATCAAAAAAATCAAAAAAATCAAAAAATCAAAAAAATCAAAAAAATCTGATTTTAGCTGTTTCCCCCTTGCGAATACCCGATCCGATTGCAAGACATTGTATCGTAACCAAAATTCAACAATTTTCGGATTTCTCTTATTTTTCATTGCAGGAAATAATACGATGATACACTTATTCAGTGTTAGCAATCTATTAAAATTTTGAAAATAACTATAACGATATTTCGTCTTGTGATCCGGGTAGAGAATTCGATGGGGTCCTTTCAAAAAAAAAGTATCTATCTTAAAAAAATCGAAATGTGTTTTTTTGCTCTCAACTTTTATTGATTATTCGATAGTTTGTAAGAGAAATGAAACTAACCATTGTATTATCTGACATCTATGGCTTCATGGTCATTCATTGGATATTACACATCATAATTGACGCGAACGAACGAACAATGTCTTTGTTCTGAAAAAAGAAAGGTTTTTTTGTCTATTGACAATTGGGACTATAACATTCTATCTATCTCGTTTTTTTACAATTTTATGATGTTTACTTCAATTAATCGTACTGTATTCGAGATTCCGTTAACTTGGGATCGAACACGTTTCGAAGCATCACGTAATAAATGTCGACAAGCTCGAAAATTAGTCGAAATTAGTGTTAATGGTAACGTAGAAAAGAAACATTCATTACTTTGTTTAATAATTAAAATAAAATAAAAAACAACTCTATTTATTTATTTAGCACAATTTAATAAACAACTTAAAGAAGTTTTTTTTCAAAAACTTGATATTGAAAAAAATATTACTGAAAGTCAAGAATGTTTAATCAATCATGAAAAAAAAATACGTGCAGTTGATAATTTAATTGATGTAGCATCTGAATCATTGACTGATTATTTCGATAAAGTAATATTTTAGGTTTTTTTTTTTTTGTATAATAAAATTTTTCTAATATATATCTTTAAATCATAGCGTATGGAAAATGTTCGTATTGCTGTACAAGAACATTGTAATGCTATACAACAAATTCTTTGTGAAGAAAATGATCATTGGAAAGAAATTCATACTGCTATAGATCAGTATGTATTAAAACTTATTGAAAAATTTTCTTTAAAAATTATATTTCCTATAGAAATCTAATTACTTCGGATGATATTCATCGACATAATAATATTGATCAAGAAATTCCATTAACAAATATTCATACTATTAATGAAGTAGACGAAGAAGAAGAACATACAACAAAATTATTAGTAGGTCATTTTGAATGAATAGAAATTATTTATCATTTATAATTTTATAGAATAATAAAACGGTTACACCATTAATAACACAAATGATTCGAAGTATATAAATAAAAATTTATTATTTCATTTTTTTTTTTTCGTTTGTTCTATATTCTTTATAGACTCGCGATTACAATCAAATCGTCGTTCAACAATCGAACCTAATATTTATACATCAACTGAAAAATTAATTCCAACCAAAGAAGAACGATTTAGTGTTATTTTACCGTTAACTTCAGCTCGTCGAACACTTCCAGTTATTGATACAACATTTGTTGTTAAAGTTGAAGAATCAAAAACTAACGAACCAAATGAATTAAATCATAATGAAATTTTATCACATGAATCATATCATGATGAAGTTATACCAATTGAGTCTATACCTACAACAAATGTTGAAATAACACCAAGTTATTCACAACCAAAACCACCAGCTCGATTATATTTTTCACCAACACTCCTTCAAGATCATGAAGAATCAGAACCAATTCAAAATGTTCTTTCAAATATTGATCAAAATCAAACAAGTAATTAAAATCACAAAGAGAAAAAGCTTGTCAGTGAAGTTCCTGTGGAACTCACCTGTGTTCTTTAGCCTTGTTATACTAATACAGGATACCTGAAGTGAAAAAGATCTGTCTTATTAATTTCAAATAGAAACTTTTTTTCATTTTCGTATTCCATTTTCAATTTAATATTATTATTCGAACTACTGATTTAGGAAAATTCCCCAGACTTTGAACTACCTAGCGACATATTCGATAGTTCGACACTTGTTCCGTACAACTATGACTAGCCGTAGCTCTGAACAGATGATCACTCTGACACAGAATTCATGCGTTCAACTGCTTAAGCTTCTTATACATACCAACTAACCACGGGAGCAGGTGTATGCCACAATGTAATCAGCATCCTATCGAACGAGCAATGCAAGACTAGAGTTCGGTGGTTTCAAAAAATACGGGTAGCTGGAACCGTAAAATCATTAGATAGATTCGAAAACCTTAAATCTATTTTGAGAAAGTTTCACCTACTGAATTGTTCAGATGAAAAGCGCCACATATTTTAGTACTTAAACAAAAATCTACTGTATATATATGCTGACATATTTAATCTCAAGAATGAAAGTTTCTCTACATAGATTTAACAATCTTTGTATCTATTTGATGATTTAATGATTCTGGTTCCAGGTTTTTTTTGAAACCGTCAAACTCTATCCGAGGCAAATAGCTGTTAGTAATTTATCCAGAGTCATTCCGTGGCTAGTGGTACTAAGGTTTGCGCACAATGTCTTATGGTTATGTGCTGAACAACATAGCGACTATGTCATAGTGGCGGACTATTGATTTAACTGGCAAATAAGCCTGCTATACATATTCATGATATCTACAACAGGATTCAACATACTATTCATATTTTGAAAAAGATTTTGGAATGTTCTAGAACAATCTAAGACTTATTGTTAATACTGTTCAGCGTATTTTCCCAATACAAAGGAAATCTAGGAAAGGAGTCTGATACCTCTTGTCCTCGATCGGTATGGAAATTTATCCAATGATTGTCGGCTTTCCGCCCATCATAGTAACTGGAGGAGTCGCAAAACCTATATAATACCAGTTGTACAAAAACAAAATAATATTCTAATTTGTTTCCTCATATAGATATCGAAAAACCAAAAGTTGTATCTCGTCGATTTGGTCAAACATTTTTACTTGATAATATTAAAATTGAAGACAATAATAAAAATGAAGATAGAGAAAATTTACGACCGAAAATATCTGATGAAATACCAATGATTATTCTTTCGAATCCATCAATATTAATACAAAAACAACCTTTAGATGAATCTCATCATATAGAAAATTCTGATCAACAGTAAAAATTATTTTTCAAATTAAAAACAAATAAGGGAAAAAAACTAAACTTTTTCTTTAGGAAATCAATTATTTATTCAAAACGACCAACACGTACTAAACGAACAAAAATTGAATCAGAACCAATACATTTAACACGACATGCAACCAAAAAACAAAATCAACGACAAACTCGAAAACGTAAACAATCAATATCTGATGATGAAAATAATCATAATAATAATACCGTTGTTTTACATAAGAAAAAACCTATTCCACCTCCAGCAAAAACTAATACAAGAAAAACAAGAATAAGAAAACCAAAAGGTTCGTTTCTCTTGTAAAGTTTAATTATCTCAAAGAAAAAATAAAACATAAATTTTAATTTATTCAGAAATTCCTATTCGTGAACCATCACCATTACCTAGCATTGATCGATCAAAACATTATTCTACTCATTTTTCAACACGTAAAATTTCAAAAAAGAAAAATTTTCTTTTCTATTTTAATACAAATATTTTCTAGGTTCTCATCGATTGAATAATATTACTCTATCAACAACAAGAATAACTGATGATGATGATAATAATAATAATAATAATAAATCGAAATATTCATCAACTCGACTTCGTACCAAATCTATGATACGAACTCGTAGTCATGATAATGATAGAGATGATCAAACGAATTTAAAAAAACGTTCAAATCTAAATAAAAATCAAACAAAGAAACGTGCAAAATCAATGATGAATACAAGAAATCGAAGAAAATAAATATGTATATGTTTTTGAATTTTTGTACATAAAGCATGTAGAGTCTGTATATTTTGTTTGAAAATAAAATGTTCTTTAATCCCATTTTTTTTTCGTTTGTGAATGTGTTCTCGAAAATCATTTTCATTGTTATAAAAATTTCTTTCTGTACATTTGTCGACAATTGATAAAGTATAATGGGTAGTAACAATAGCAAAGAGTCAGAAGATTATAATCGAAGGAATAGAACTAAACCAATATTAAAGAAACCAACTGTCTATCCAGGTACTTATATACCCCAGCAGACTGGTTATCCACAATATACTAATAATTCTTCTATACCATACGATACAAATAATATTCAAACACAAGGTAAAAATGTAAGTATTTAAGTAATGATCATTTTGTAGTAATTAGAATAATATATAATTTTCTTTTGTTGAATGATAGAATTTACCTGATAACTCTTTATCATCTCATAGTCATCATTCACGACATCGACATCATCGTCATCGTCATCATCATCGTCCACAATGTTCTGAACGTGCAACACAAACAACTCCATCTGTATTATATCGAGTCGATGAACGAAGTCAAAAACCACTTTCGATTACAAATGATGGACGTTCTACTCCTGTTTTACTTAGAGAAAACTCACGTTCTACTCCTGCTTTACTTGAAGAAAGTTGGAGTTCTAATTCACTTGATAAACGTTCACCTGTTCCAATTAAAAAATCTCCACGTACCATTTCAACTTATAAATCTACATCTTCTGCTGCAGTCAAACAACTTTCGCCTGCTAATGTAGATAAAAAACATTAATCTTCATCTTTAGTTATTGTTGGTATATCAACAGACACCTAATATAAATGAAAAGTCATCGATATAGTACTGTAAAGGAATATTAGCACGACTCTAAAAGATGAAAATTATTACAAGATACTTGTATAATTTATTTGTAAAATATTTTGAACTTCATTATAAGAGAATAATTTTTTTTTTGGAAGAATAATCTTCAACAAAAAGAAAGAAGAATATGAAGCTAATATAATCGAAGATATATTCTTTATTTTTTCATAAATATTGAATTTAAATAAATTTTACTATGAAATATAGATCAATTGAAGTATTGATCTCTTTGAAATTAAATAATAGTTTATTAGTTAAATATAGATCAGAATATATACACAATAAAATTACAACAGAAAGAACAAGTGAATCATTCGAAAATGTAAAATATACATATTCATCATTATGTCATACATATGTCGATTGATGTTTACATGATTTAACCTTTTACATTTTCTCACCGATACTCTCCTTTTTTCTTCCCTATCAATTGATTGACGTGTTTCATGAATTTTTCATTGAAGAAATGGATGAAAAATTTATACACTATTGTCGTTTTAAAAAAAAGCAATGCATCTGATTGTTTTTTGAATAACTTTTGATAGGAATAACATAGAGACTTGAGGTTTTCACTATACAAGAGAGAAGACTCTAGGCCATTTATATATGCCGAAATTTGATTGGTCAATGATCGACCAATCAATTGAGTTCTCTGCGAAGGTTTTTTGAAAAACATATTCTGAAGTCCTTTCTTACTGGATTTTGACTTAAAATATGACCGATTGTTAGGAAAAGTTCTTCTCTTTCGATCTATATGAGCTTCAACTTTCCAGTACATACTGTTCAAGAGTTACAAGGGTTTTTCAGAGACCTCCGATGTCAGCCAATTGACCTTTGATCATCCTGAAAAGCAGCTAGACAGGAGTCGTTTACTATGCTGAACCATTCGACTCAACATGATGAATTACTTTTATCTTGGAGCTTTCAGAAGGTCTAGAGAAAACTCTTGTAATTCTGAATTGTGTAGATCGAAAGAGAAGAATATTTCATTTCTATGGGTCAGATTCCAAGTCAAAATCTAATAGGAAATGGCTTTAGAAATGTCTTATCCAAAAAACCGTCGCAGAGAACTCATCTGATTGGTCAATTGCTAAACAATCAGATTTCTATATAAGTAGATGCCCCAGAGTCTTCTCTCTTGAATAATGAAAACCCCAGGTCTCTATGTTGTTTCTATCAAAAATTACTCAAAAAACAGTCGCAACCACTGCTTTTTTGACAATGACAATAGTATAGGTTTCTCGTTTTTCAATTCAATGTATTACAATGTAAATATATGAATTGCTAGATTTCAGAAATATTTATTATCACATAACCTCATAATTTCAACTGTTTTTTTTTTATCTATAGTCATGTTTCAAGTACATATATTATATTACTAATGAAATAGAATATCGACAGTGGATGTACATTTGATGAAACATGTAGTCTTTGTGTTTTGTATGTAAGAAAAAAAAAAGTGGAAAGAAAATAATATTGTTCGTAAAGTGACGCATTTTAATCCCATATTGATAATGTATTTTTAAATTGTACGAATGTTAACTTTTTTTTTCATTCGCACATTGTCTTGACATACATTTAATTAAAAAAATGGGTAACAAAAGCAGTACTACAGTGGAAGAAAATCCAAAGACTAAAGTAGAAAAAAAATCAAAGACTACAGTCAAACAAGTACGTGAAAGAATACCTGTTCGAGGTTCTGTTTATAGAGGTTATCAACCTTCTATTGAATTCATGAAAAAAACGTCTACGGAAAAAGAATCCGTAATAAACGATAAAAGCGACAATGATTCACCAACACCACCATCACCACCACCACAAAATGTAAGTTGTACATTACTATTTATTTATCTAAAATGACTATAATGACACATCATACATTTTAGAACTTATCTGAAATACCTATTTTATCTTCTAATAAGAATCCTCGTCTGTATGACGATCGTCCTAAACAAACAACACCAATTAAAGAACAATCATCATCTTCTGTTGTCTTTCAAAACATTTCAACTGAGAAGCCTATAACTCCTTCCCTAATACAACCAAAAATATCTTCACAAATACAAGAAGTTTATGTACCACCACCAACTATTTCCAGGAATGTTTCATGGCCTCATACAGTTGCTGCCAGTAGTTTTGAAAAAGCTCCAATGGTTCAATTAAATTATGTTGTAAAACCATCTGAAAAAAATTCAAAACATATTTATGAACTAGATAATATGACTGTAATGCGTCGAACATCATCACAAGTCATGCCATATGGCAGTCGATGGTACGATAATGATTATAATAAAAATGTAAAACCACTTGTCGTCAAATATTATTAATTAATCGACTAATAATACTTATATAAATGAAAGAACATCATAAATTTATTATATAAAAAAGAAAGCTTTTCTTCTGTTTTAAGAATATATATATATATATATATATATAAGTGTATATCATATGAAATCATATGCATTTTGTTGCAACGACTAATTCTATTATTGTTAACTTAAAATAAAATTAAAATAAAAAATTATATTTTATTTCGAGCTTTCATTAAATGAATATATCAATCAAAGTTGTACACAATTCAAATATAAAAAATAAATCATAAAAAAAAACAATTTATTAAGTTGTTCGATATTCTTGATGCAGCATTATCAAAACCACAGAATTATCTGAAACCATTTAATCTTCTGATTCTTAATGACAAATTTGTAATGCACTTCTCCAATCTCTGAAGCAGCTATATTGAAATATGCAACATGAGCATTATTTACATTGACAAAAATTATATTTATTGGGCAAGAATGAGTGTCTGATTTCCCTCATCTACTAACATCAGTTTATATTTTTCTGACCTGGCTCGAAATATCTACACGCGAGGCTAAAAGTCACAAAATTGCCTGTAGATCAAACCAGGTCAATTTGAAATAATGAAATTAAAACAAAGAGATGACCAACATAAAAAATTTTCATACAAGAAGAACTTGAATTAATAATAGAACGTTTTTGATCATATCAATTCTGTTTCGCATAATCGAAAAACTGTCATCATGATAGAAAAGACGACATATAACGGAGAGGTACAGGAATAAGTTATATTTTTAATAATACATAAGGATATTTCTATTTGACAATCAATTTTTGCAATATCACGAACACAAAATTTCCTATTAAATTGTTTTGAATCTAAACAGGTTCTTCTATCAATCAATGTACGCTCTACAATACTGTTACTAGAATCGAATGACTTTCTCGAAATATTCTAATAAGACGACGCATCAACATTTGATTTCCAAAACGTATGAGCCAGACAATTAACGTTGACCGGACTGAATATTATATGAACGGATCCGACCACGCTAAAATTTCAAAATTTGGGTTGACCTGATAAGCAGGCAACTCTGATAGAAACATCAATTTTGAAAATTATTTCAATTTGAACTTGTGCTTGATATGAACTATACTAGTTAAATCATTCGATGAAATTAATTTATACAGACGTTAAATAACAAATCAAACAAAAAAAAAATCATGTAGCAATATCATTCAGTTTCAAGAATTAATGTAAAAGCATTTGAATCAATTAATGTTAAGTCAAAATTTATTGTCTTACTACCTTCGAGTGAAATACATCATAGTATCATCAAGTTTTTGCAGACAAACAATGAATTATTCAACTAACAGAAAAATGATTGTGATTGAATATATCATACGAAAAAAATTAATAACAATTGTTATATTCAATAATTACCATACACAGGATATTTATCTTTTTCGTGTCTTTTCTTATAGAAAGATAATGAATCCTATTTCAATAATAATAGTAAATGGTTGTGATGTCGTTATAAAATTATATGTAGAGGTCGATATGCATCTCGGGTTGTTCGCTTATTCAAATAGTATAGAACAGCGAAAGGAATTTTATAGTTTTGAATTTGGGATTATATATATCATGTAGGCTCTAATGAGCTATGAAGTATCTTGAAACGAGTTGGAACCTTTATCTTATTGTTGTAGAGTCTCAAGAACATCGGAAAAAGTGATTTTCGAATTTTTAAATTGAAACTTTGAATAGAAACAGACCTTAGTGAGAATGAGAGTTTCAGATCTTTTCGTTGTTCCTATCCAAAAATACAGCTACGATAAAATCGTGTCTTTTACATCGTTCATATATTATTTCTGCAGTAATAAATTAAAGATTTGAAATCTTTTCAGAATGAATGAAATATCATAAATTTCTTTTTATGAATATAAAACAGAATATATTTGAAATAATGAAATTTACATTTAAAATGATCTTTTCTTTACGAGTTTACACAATAAAATAAACGTTTATTATCATTCATATGATTTGTCACGTTCTATTTGTCTTTCTTTATCATTCAATAAACAGATTTATATTAACACTTTTTTTTATTCATCACTATTTAAATTATTATTTAGATCACAATTGTTATCTTATTAATAAAATAAATGTTCATAATTTTCATTTTTATTTCAATTATTAGATTAAATTAATAAATTTAATCACCAAATCTGTTTAATTTTTCTCTACAATTTACAATTACATTATGTATTTTTAACACTTAATAAAAATTCTATTCAAATCTTTGTCTTTATTATTATTTTTATTATTATTAATATTATGGAACAACAAGAAAATTGAAAAGAATAATTTTGGTTTTTCTCTTAATCGAACAAAACACATTTAGAAAAGAACAACGGTAGACGAATAACGCCAGAAGAAAAATATGGAATAATAAAGATGAATGATTGACACACAATGAGCACATAGAAATTCAGAACTTAAAAATTTTCTGTGAGGTTTTTTTTTTGTTGTATATGTATGTAGGATTACAATTTAATAATGAGTATCTACAGTAAAGAAAAACAAAACAAAACAAAAGAAATCAAAATTAATTAAAAGCAGATAGCAAAGCAATAGAATGACTATGAGAAAGATTTGTTTCTTTAATAATTATTCATCAGTTTTATTTGCCATCATTTGTTCCCATTTTTGTGACATATCTAATTTTTTAGCTGGACGAATTAATGGTGCATGAGCTTTCTAGAAAAATAACAAATGTATTAAATCTTTTAAAAACAAAAACCAATTCAACATGTTCTATTTACTTCATTTTCTGTTCGTTTTAATCGTTCAATTTTTTCGAAATAATGTTCTTGATCTTCGTCATGTTCTTCTTGTGATGCATTGCCAGAATCACCAGTGATTGTTGTATTTGTGGATGATGTACTAGCATTTATTGAATTACGTTGTTTTCTAGAAATAAAAAAAAAATTATTGATTCAAATGATCGGTAAATTGAAATTCAAATCAGTTAACAGATAGTTATGAACAAAGATGGAGAATTTACGAGTAGATTGGATCGATGCTCTCAAGAAAAATCGATAAAATTAAATAAAGTTTATCTGATTTTTAATTTTACAAGAGAATGTTTTCAACTAATCAATTACTTTATTACAAAACGTTACTGGATTATGAACTATCGACAAGGTTAATTCAGATTATGACCATGAGAAAAATCCTCTTAGGTCTCTATAGAGAATTGTTTGTTCTATCATTTTGAATAATTCAAACGAAATTCTAGAAGTCGAGAAACTTCGTATTCCACAGATCCTATTCTCGAAAAACAAGCAATGATTTTCATCTTTAAAAATTCTCTACAAAAATCACTATTTATATTCTTATTAGCATTGAAAAAACATAATTTTGAGGGTCATTGTACATGCAATAATGAACCTAAGAAAACAGCATGACATTCTTTGTATTTCGCCTCTAGATACTTTAAATAGATGAAATTTTACTTTTTTTATTTGCTGTTCGATCTAGACAAACTGTTTGAAGTACTCTCATAGGCTATGCTTGATCTACATTCAATCACTTTCTCGAGATGATTTATATTCGCTTCTCCCGTCACAACAAGGTCATTGTATAAAAATGAATTAAAATCACTTGTATAGATCAATATTATTCTTAAAAGAGTTTTATTCCTGAAATAAAATTTTCTTAGGAAAAAAAAAAAGAATTTTAATGTAAGATTGATTGAGTTTGAAAAATAAAGATTTAAAATCTACCTTAATTCTTGTTCTCGTTCTTGACATTGACGTTTTTCTAATTCAAGTCGATCAGTTGATGATAATTTTGAATAATCATTTGATTTATTTGATGAACTAACAATTGGTGCTATAGGATTTGGACTTGGAAATTTACCACGTACGGATGGTATTGCTATAATGTATAAAAAACAAAATGTGATATTAAAAAATAAATAAATAAATCTCTTACATGAATTATTTGTTTTAGGTTTTAAAAATCCATTTGTTGTTGCAATCATTGGTCCATGATGACGTGATATTTGTTGACTTTCACTATCACGTCGTATTTTTCCTGTTGAAAGTGTATTAATTGATTGACTTTTTGGTAATGTTGTAATATGTTCTTGATATTTTCTTGGATCAGCATGTTCATCACTTGTATGTTGAATTCGACCTAATTGTCTTAATTCAGCTTCTTTAGCACGTATAATTTCAATTTCACGTTGAATTATATTATTATTATTATTTGTATTATGTGTTGAAAGAATATTTTGATTTGATGATGAACGATAAAGTGAACCATTTGTTGAACCTGTACGAATTATTGAAATACCATTTTCATTAAAACGATTTAATTCTTGTGAAACAACATTTGACATTTGTTTTAATTCATCATTTGATGATTGACGATAAGTATTTGATGGTGATGAATTATTAGAATCATAAATAATATTTTGTGTTAAAATTGTTGAACGACGTGGAGATGAGATTGATGATGTTGATTCATTTAATGAATTACCATTTGTTTTTGATGTAAAAAAATCTAAATTAGATAAAAATGAACTATTTTTAATAGATTGATTTGTTGTTAATGTTGGTTCAGATTTTATTGAATCATTTGTTGAATTTAACATTGACATTGACATTGATCCATCTTCAATAAGACCACATTTTTTTCGTTGACGTTTTAATTCTTCTTCTTTTTCGTGTGTTTCACGTATTTCTCGAGCAATTAAAGATTCTACATAAGAAGTATTTGTTGCAGATACAGGAGAATTAGATGATGAATTAACAGTTGGACGAACTATTGGTTCAAGACTATGTCGACGAGTATTGTTACCGTAACCATTTTCAGGCTAAAAATGAAGAAAAAAAAAGTAAACTTGGTATTTTGAGTTTTTCATTTTTTTTTTTAGAGAATCTGTTTGATGCAAAGAGAAGAATTCAGTTCTTAATCATTGAATTCAATAGACTCTATCAGTAAAGGGATCACTCTGGCTGGAGAGAGAATCTCTTCAGCTGTCTCCTCTCGATTTCAATGATTTCTTTGTTCATAGATACTGCATAGTGATCTAATTAAAATCCTAAAATGAATTGAATTCGTATTGGAATTTGGCTAAGTTATAGAATTTTTAATACGTCTATTTTCTAGAAGCTCCAGGTTTTCGGAAAGCTCGTGTTTTTGAATTTTGATCTGAAGCTTTGTGCATATAGATAATTCAATTAGACTAACTTTTACAAAAAAAAAGTTCACAAGTTTTGAATAAAGTTTCTTCGAGATATGAGACTTTTAAGATATAGCCCCTTTTCCATGGATAGTGTATACAACTGCATTTTTTTGAAAGCTTCATATCACGAAGAGAGTTTGTTCAAAACTTCTGAATTTTTTTTATCAACACTAATCTAGTTGAGTTGTCTCAAATCACCCGTTCAGTAGCATGCTGACTACGTTGTGACATACAATTACTCTTGTGGTTAGTTAGTGTGTATGGAGACCTTAAGCAATTGAGCATAAGAACTCTACATCAGACTGACCTTCTATTCAGAACTATACTTAGTCATAGTTGTAGGAAAGATATCGAGCTATTGAATCTGTCGCTAGGCAGGGATATTCTTCCTTCCTATCAGTCAAAGTCACATAGACAACATGTCGATTGAGTCAATAATAGAAAAGACAATTCAAATAAAAACATTTCCTGAGCTGATTCATACATTCTTTCTCGAATGAGTTGACCGATTTAAATTTCATAATGTTTAGATAGTGGAAGTTCAATCTATCATTTAAAATTTTAGAATTGAATAAAAAAATTATCCAATTTTTACATAAAACTAAATAACGATTCAATAGTGACAGTGATCACCGATGCACCATCACCTTTGTATCCCTAGAATTAAATAGTCATGCAAAAGTTTTACATCAAATAACTGAGTTGACACGGATCAGCAATTTTTTGTAGATTGTCTTATACTCAATGAAACAATTATTCAAAATGACTTGTTCTACACACCAGATTCTTAGTTATATCAAAATTTATTTGAAATAGAAAACAACTAAATTCATATTAATAAATTTTTAAAGAAATCTTCTATTAATATAATCTAAATTCTACCTGTTTATCTTCGATAACAACATCTTTTGTTCCAATAATATGATCAGTATATTTATTCATTGCAGAAGATTCTTGATTTGATTTTAGTCTATTATTATTATTATTGTTGTTATTATTATTATTATTTGGTATTGTTTGTTGATGATTTGGTAGATTTCTTTTTAAACTTCCATAACTAATAGGTATTTTTTTATGGTGATGTTGTTTAACTTCAGTTAAATGTGATAAATGTTCATTCGATTGAGATAATGTTTTGTTAGTATCACAAATTTTTTGTTCAAATAAAGCTTTTATATTAGCTGTTTTAACTTTAATTGTACCACGATCATCTAATCTATCATTATAACGTGCATCAATATGTTTTTTAATATGTTCTTGTTCTGAATTATTTGATTTAACTGTATGATATGATTCACGTTCGTCACGATCACTACTTAATGATGGTACTGATGAAAAACTTTGATCTTCAGAACGTGTTGGTGATGATATAATTTTTGATGTTGATATTATTGGTTTTTTAATTGATTGTGGTTGAGTTAAATGAACAGATGATGATAAAAGAGATGCAAATTCGTTTATACGATCTTTTTTAATTGGTTTAGGAATTGGTTTGGGTTCAGTTTTAAGTATTGGATAATCAGTTTTTGATTTTTCAATATTTGTTGAAATTTTCGTAACAGGTTCAGTTTTTGATGAATTAAATTTGGATTTGTCAAAATCTGTTTCGTTATTTGCTGAAGTTTTCTTAACAGTTTTAAGTAATTCAGTAAGAACAGTAGTTTTATTTGAACGAGTTTGATATTCAATTGATGATGGTGAAGTAACTAAATATGACAGGAAGACATTTTCTGATGGGATGATTAATGAGGAGAAAAGAAGCGGTCAAAAAAAAAAACGAGGAAAAAAAAGGAATCTCCATTTTTTTCTACTCATGGTCGATAAGAACGTCACGATTTCCTTTCTTTTTTTTTTCTTTTCTTCTACCTATTAAAAATGGTCAACTGAATTATATATTTTCTTTTCTTATTCTTATACTACTATCTTAAGATTCACTGAAGTACAAAAAAAAAAAAAAAAGAAATGAGATGTATGCATGTTCAGATGAGACACTATTTAAGCTAACACAAAAATAAACTTGTCCACTAGTCAGGTCAGAAATAGTAATAGACACAAAAAAAAAGAATAAAAATAACGAATGACCTGTTACATTCTCGATCCACATTTACATAGGAGAATAAGAGATTAAAATAGCAACAATTGTTCAATAAACAAAAGAACAAGAAGAATAGGTAAACCTCCGCATTCGGTAAGCATAAGAAGAATTGCGCCATTTTCACTCAAACCTCCTCCTTCTCCTCTTTTTTACTTTATATGTTTATTATACCCTCCGGAAGAAGAATGTCAATGTGTAGTCGAGATTATAGTAGATGAACAAATAAAACATCGAAAAAAAAAAACGACAATTAGGGTGTTAAATCCTTTCTTCATGTTGAGTCGGATCAAAATATGAACTAGAGCAATTACTTTCAAATACAAAAACTTATAACTCATCATTAGAAGAAAGACTACAACAAAGCAATAGTCATTAGGATCCTATGTATAATAACTATTGATAAATACGAATGATGGTTTTTTTTCTGTTTTTTTTTTTTTGTTCTTGTATTCAAGGAAAAGATTTAGAAAACTATACATCGAACTATTTTTTTTAATCAATGCTCACTATACGAAATATAAGCTGTTGAAAGTATCATTTATAATCGATATGCATTTTTATATATAACGTCTAGATTCATTTTTGATTCGTTCTGTCAGTCGATTCTTTTCACCTGTTTTCAATCAATTGAAACTTATATATTCTTTACTCTTCTCACTCAAAAATTATTTTTATGAAAGATATAACCGACGGCCCAGTCAGCAGAACTAATTGACCTTATCAAATATGCATTGGACCAAAAAGTGTATAGGTTATCAATTCACATATATTTGTAAAATGATGTGTTTTCTTTTTTTTGCGTTCTTATGTTTGTTGTTATTTTACCTTTGATTGTTGGCAATTTTGGTTTATTATTAATTGGTGACGATGAGCGTGGAATATTTGATTTTTGTTTTTTTATTTGAGCTGGACGGTCACTAGCAGATGAAACTGATGATAAAGAATCATCAAGTAAATTTTTTTGAATTTTATTATTTGGAATTATTGGTGCAGAATATAAATCAAGAACATCAGCTGATTGTTCAGTTTGTATAGATGATAAAAGTTTCATTGATGGAATATCATGTGAATTTACAAATGGTTTTGATGACAAAGGAGGAGATGATGATGATGATGATGATGATGATGATGACGAATCATCACGTTCTTGTTCATGTTCAGATAATGATGGAGTTGAAGCTGATGATGCAATCGATGATGAACGTTGTTTTTGATGTATAGGAGAATCTAGTTTTTTTTAGAAAAAAAAGAAAAATTTGAATATTAAAAAAAAGGAAATGTCAATTAAGATTTTCTTCCTTTACTATAATCAATATTTTTTTGTTCCGAACTTTTTTCTATATTACTACTTATTGATGATGATATTGATTTATCTTTTGGTACAATTGTTAAAACACCATCAACTATTTCAAATATACATTCTTGTTCATCCATTTGGATGATTTCAATATTTGAATCTATACTTTCGTTTAATAAACGTTTAACAGGACTTAACGATGATTGATAAAAATCGTTAACCTTGCATAATGATGATGATGATGATGATGCGTCTAAAAAAGTAAGCAAATCATCATTTATATATACAAAAAAAGTGTCCTAGAAGGTAAACTAGACTGAATATATAATTGAAGAGAGAAGGAAAAAAACGAAGAAGAAAAGAGGAAAAAAAAATCATTATTTTTCCATCGAATGCAAAAGTATAAAATCGGCATTATTCATGGCAGATTGCTCAACAAGTTGCTGCCATATAGACAAAGACATAACATATATATCGATACATTTGTAACGATATATCCTGTTAAAAAAAGATTGACGACAGAAGAAAAATAAAAATCAAATAGACAGGTGTCTTTTGCAAATATATGAATGTCAATGGTCTAAGAATGATTAGTCATTTTCAATAGGAAAAGAACGAAGACGAAAAAATGAAATAGTTCTTCTTGTTTTCTTTTTTCTTACGTTTGTTTTTCTTATTGATCAATATTGGTATATAGGGATTTATAATATAAATTTCTATTTGTATAAATACAAACGAACTAACAGAAATTAGATACATTCATGATTATTTTCTTTTATATATATATGAACATATGTAAATAGCAATAATACATTCAACTATAGATTGATTATTTTCTCATAATTTACTCGTTCTTTTGTTTTTCTTTCGTGTTAAGAAAAACAGAATTGAATCGGAAGAGATTATGAATGAAAAGATAAAAGGATGGGTCTTGTTATGATCGCTTGGGTTTTTTCCCGTCATCAAAACAAACTTTATGATTACCGTCACTATTACGTGCAAAAAATTGTTTTTTCATATATTACTATACCTGGAAGAAGTGTGCTAGTTGTTTTTGATATTTGTGATTCATCCGTTTTTATCGAATGATAATCATCATTTAATGGTATGAAAGCATAAGACGGAGTTTCACCATTCTTGTTGTTATTATTATTATTATTATTATTACAACTAAATACGAAATATATAAATATATTAGTCATGTATAAAAATAGAAGACTTGTCAAAAATAGTCCATAGAAAAAAAGAGAAGAAATTAATGACGTTATTTTGTCTTTTTCTATTTCAAGTAATAGGAAAGGGTTCAATATGTATATAACACATAATAAATTTTTTTTCTTTTTTTAAACACATACTCTAGTGAATTATTGTGTAATAACATTGTTGCTCCAGTTGCTTTAACACGTGTTTGATTGAGAACAGTCGATGTAGCTGTTTTTGTTGTTATCGTTGAGTTCACGTTTGCGTTTTGACAAGCATCCGTTCCATCAACTAGAACGATAGTAACCGTTGAACTCAATTTTTTTTCTTTTCCTGTCGTGTGTGTGTGTGTGTGTGTTTTATACTCTTAAAAATTTGGATCAAGCACATACACATATATATGAACGGACATAGAAAGAAAGAATATATATAGAAAGATTGAAGTGTGTCCTGTTATCGGGCAATGACCGTGTTATTGTACCCATTTTCAAGATGTAAACTCATTCAACTGAAAAGCTATTCTATTTGTTATCTTTTAGTTTTGTCTTTTCTGTTGTTCCCTTAGGAGATCTTCTCACTTTGATTATTTGATAAAAATGGTTGAATAAGATTTGTTTTTAAACGTTGTTGTTGAAGATAACTTGTTGGTTTTGTATTATTATTATTATTATTATTATTATTATTATTATTATTATTATTGACAGCAGATCGTGATGGTGAACTTGGTGAACGTATCCATGTTTTACGTCGTTTACAACGAACTCGGGTTATTGAAATAGCTTCTTGACGTAATGTTGAACTTGTATTATTAAGATCGTCACTTGCACAGCTGTTACGAGCTGCATCCGATGAGTACCTATACAAACAAATCAACTTATCAGAGAAAAAAAAATTCATACGTGATAACAAATAGATATCAAAGAGCTATTGACATTTCTCTTGAGTGGAGTCGACTACACTTCGATATTTATAATACGAAAAAAAAAATGAGAAAGAGAAAACGCATAACTACAAAAATGGAACCCATACAATGCTCAATTGAACATATAGATATGTATACACGCAAACAAAAGAAGAAACAAAGATAAAGAAAAAACTGAAAAATGATCATAACGACGACATGAAATAAATAGTAGAGTTATTATATTAAATCATATACTCAATCGATAAATTTTATTTCATTTATTTAACGAAAAAAAATCATATGAAATAATATTTTTCTTTTTTAATGTTTAATAAAAAAAAAAAAAAAAAAGAAAAATCTCTCGATCTACTCTCAACTAAATAATTTATATGTAAAATTATGAAAAGTAAATGTCACTTATAAGAATATTTGAAGTGAAGAATTGTAAAATGAACTGACTCTTCTTTTTTTTTTTCAAATACAATATATGTCTTCTCAGTTTACATCTCGTTTCTATTTGACAAGAGAAACAAAACCTTGACCAAAATGTCCATGAAATATTTTACAACAAAGTCGAAAAAAAAATGGCAAATTATCTTTTTTTTTTTTCTTTCTTATATGTTTAACTGTACACATACATACACACACACACACACACAACTGCTTTGATTTTAAATCGTTAATGATTATTTTCAGAAGGTTAAATGATGCAAGAAAAGGCAAAGAAAAAAAAATTCAATCTTTCTTTTAAGATTCATTTTATCAAACAATGTCTAAACATAGATTCATTTTCACTTACATGCAGATAGTCATTGTGTGTGTGTTTTTTTTTAATTTTGTATTAAATATATGTGTATGTCGAATATAAATGACTTGATTGAACCTTTACATGTATACATGCGTTTTACTACAATCAACTATTGACAGTATGCCGATCGAGAAGTAATTTTATTCTTCTTCTTGTTGTTGCATCATTCTCAACTAAGACCACTACTACCGTTAGCTATTATTAAAACGAAGAGGCTCTTTTACGGGTTGCTTTGTATATGTACACATACGAAAACAATATACAGGACGACAACGAAAAAAAAAAGACGAAAAAGAAAAAAGTTGTACTGCCGTTTACATAAGCAATGTCTATAAAAACGTATACTAAGTAGTAGGAGGAAGAAGTAAAGGCATGCATTTGCCTAATCCGACTGAACGGATGTATGTTGAGGAGAATGATGAAAATAGGATATGATCTTTTTTTCGTGATAGGAAATAAAGTTTGATTTTATTTGCTATTTATACATACTGAACATGTAATAGGAGATTTAAATATATAAGTTATTTGTTTGAATAAATTTCAGATTTAGAAGATATTATCGAAAATATTTATATATATATATAGAGAGAGAGAAAGGATCATTCGAATTAGTTAATTGCTTATTTAATTAAACTGAATCAATTATATTTATAATAATAATAATAATAAACGTGAGAAGGGCGAACATGTCAAAAGAATTAAAATTTTTCGTTATGATTGAAATTAAAAATTCTTGATAAAACTAACCTTAAATCATCTGAATAATGTGATTCATCTGAATAATGTTCATCATCATCAACATCATCATCATCATGATTTTCTTGTCGTGTTATCATTTCAATATGATTATTCATTTTTATCGAATGAACTATTTCTTGTTGATCTACTTGACTATAAACATCATTATTATTTTCGTTTTCATTTGTTTGTTTCAATTGTTGATTTAGTTGTTCATCGATAGAAATTTTTCGACAATGTTCATGTTGTAAAGACGACGTCATCGATTGATTTAATGAGATATTGTCTATATTTGACCTTATCTTATTGTTTTGTTTAGAACCATGATTAACATCGTCATAATCGGATAAGCATTCATGTTCTTTAACAACTGTACATTTTGTTGCATGAACTACACCGGTAAAATCATGATCTGATAGTGTTGAATTAAGCCGTATTCGAATAATCTGTTTATCATTATTTTTGATATTTTCATTTCTCATAAAAAAAAAAACGAAGAAGATTTAGTAGAAAAACCAAAAAAAAAAAACAAAAATCGGATATTAATATTAATTAGCTTCTCAAAAATTTGAGTTTATACATTGTCTTATTAATAAATTTTGTTTGCAATGTCTAACAGTAAATAAATTAAACTATGTATACAACTTTGAGGATTATCATTGAAATTGATGAACACATAGAGAAATTATCTTGATTTGAACCAGTCATGAGCTAATCTTAAATGAGTGAGTTACAGCTTGTGCCTCATATCATTGATACATTCATATACTTCATACAATGTAAATATACAACTTCAAATGTCAAGCGATATTATAAAAGTGAGTTTTATACTAAATGAAAGTCCATCAAGATGTTAAAGATATAATTGGACACTTTCATGTATAGTTAACGACAAGAAAATAAGATTTTCGGGAAATGAGTTTTTGTAGAATTCTCTTCACTGATAATTTTGATAAGAAAAATATTAAATTTGATCAATATACTAATAAACATCTTGACTCTATTAGTCAGAGCAGTTAGATATTTCCAGTATTTTCACCTTAGCATTGTTGTTTGTTGGTCAAATTTCGAAATTTTTTTATCGAAATGATCAGCAAGGAGAACTCCACAAAATTTCCTTTTCGAGAACGTTTTTTCTTTTGTGTGGTTGACAACCTGTATGAGCACCGAATTACACCCCTAAAATCTTTAAAAAAAAACTTATCGTAACTCTAGAGCTCATTCTCGTCGAACCAATGGCTAGTTAATACTCTGAAATTCAATTTTTGACGGACTTTCATTTAGTATAAAATTCACTTTTACATCTCTTGGGTTGTGAGCTGTACCAGAGATAGAATTGATACCGGTAGATCGATCGGTTGTCGGTCTAACTTGTTTGCTGTCCTTCTTTTATTATATAAAATTATTTTAAAACTTCGATTGGTCTTAATACTACTACGTCGTTTATGCTTTACATGAACAGGTTTATTGTTTTTTATTTCGTTTTTCTCGTCCTATATAATTCAAGAACAAACGTCGAATGCAGATATGGAACTGGTACCGGTACGAATTCTAGACCAGTTTCATTTCTGAACTGTACTACCTGGAAAAACGTCTTTATTCATTCTATATACAATAACTCGCAAAATTATTCGACGAGATTTATTTCCAATTTTTTTCGGTTATCGTAACTCCTAATAAGAATTCAAACAGTGATGTTAGTAGAGAATTTTATTTCCCACTAGAATTTTCGAAGATAAAAATGATTGTTGGTTTCTCGAAAATAGACTCTCTGCAAATCTAAGCTTTTCACTTTCTTGAATTCTGTTTTAATTATTGAGAAAATAATTCTCTACATGATGGAATATCTTCCAGCTATCTACAATCTATTTTTGACCGAGATACATCAATTTTACAGAAGGCACAAATATAAAATAACAGAAAAAACGACTTTTGCTTCTTCTGTAAAGTTGATTCATTTCCCTCAAAAAAGCATCGAATGGATTGTTTACTTTTTCAAAGACCATACTCTTCGAAAACTCTTGCACAGGAAATAAAATTCTTCCAATCACATCAGTAAAAAATTCAAAGCACCTCTACTCGAATAATTATTGCAGTCATTGTTTCTTGCTTACACTATTTTATCGTTTTAAATATTTGTTTTTAAAAATAGTACGTAAGTCAATAGTTCTGTAGCTTATCGAAACATCTTACATTAGTCTTCTAAATTTATTTAACTTACTGTAAATTCGTCGATATATTAATATCATTTGTATTATTATATTGTTGAACAATAGGTTTTATTCCTTCTGAATTATCATCGGAATCCGATTGAAATACAGTTGTATCTGATGAACAAACACTAACATCATGTTGTGTATTGGTTATTTTAGCTTGAACATTTGATGTAATTGTTGTAAGTGATAAAGCATCATCTAATCGAGTTGTTTCTTCTGGATAAAAATATGTATTTTCATAATCATTACTATTTGTTTCTTGTAATTCAGTATTTTGTTCTTCAGAAAATGTTGCTGTTGCTATCATAGCCATTGTTGAATGATTTGATAAAGAATATGTTCGTACACGTTTAGATAATGATGAATAATAACGATTTGATCGTTTTTGATCATTTAAACAAATAAGATGACTAGTCGAAAAACTTCGACGTTTACCAAGAAAATTATTATTACGTGTTGAATTCATCATTGTACGTGATAATGCACTACCATAAGATTCATGATTAAAAAATGTTTGTTGTAATGTATTAGCAATAACAGATTGTAATGTTTCAGCTGATGTTGATGATAATGATGGATTAGAAAGAACTAGAAATAGAGAAAAATAAATAACAGAAAACAAAAACACAAAAAATTTTTTTTTTTTACGTTTTTCTTTTGAAATATTTTCAATATCATCTTTTATTATTTTTTTCTTTTCAAAATAATTAATACGGTCTTGTATATCATATAATGAATGTGTTCGTATTGTTGGTTGTTGTTCAATTAATAATTTCATATTATTTTGTTCATATAATGTTGAAATTTGTTTTTTTTGAGAATGAAGACGATTTTTTATTTCACGTATATGATTTTTTGTTATTGGTGAATGATATATTGTTGAGTAATAAAATGATGATGATGATGATGTTGATGGTAATGTACAATATTTTTCTGTCATCATCATCGAGGGATAGTGTGTTCGTGTCCAATTAAAATAAGGGAGAATTCAGTTGAGATATCTATCTTGATGTCTATATCGTATATTGTACAAGCAATACTATCTGTTCTTTTTTTAGGGTTATTAAAAATTGAAATAAATGATGAACGAATGTACACACGAGTTTTACACTAACGTTCTTTTGAATCGTTATTGAACACAAAATAAGATATGAACGATGATGTAAAATACGGAACAATAGTACAATGTATATGTGTATATGTGTGTATGTGAAAAAAAAATCAATCAATTATCTATTCGAATAATTGAACGAGAACGCGAAAGATAGAGAGAGAAAGAGACAAACAGTTGGAAAAAAATGTATTATACATACATACATACATACATACATACATTGAATACGAAGTGAATGAAGCTTAGAAAAGATCAACAGACTGTTGTCTTATGATCACTCTAATATCATATGTATTGAACTAAAAAATTGCTATGTTGATCCAGTGTGTAAACAATTGAGTATTCATCAATTAGTTCATTGAGAAGATGTTACGAAAAAATCTAATCTCTCAAGGTTAGGGCGTTATGTATGACATTGATTAAAATGGGAGTGGTAAGCCTTAGCGAGAAGAAATAAGATTGTTTTTCTTCTTATATGATTTGATAGTATCTTTCAATACAATTTTTTTTATTGAGGTCTAAAAATACATATTTGACAACACATCGGATATGTTTTAAAATTAAAAACAACAACAGAAGAAATAGTACAATCTAGACAATTGTGTAAAACTTTTTTAACTAAATATAAGAAAAAGATGAGGTTTTTTTTTGACATTGATATTTCAATCTTTCAATTTTAGGCCCTTCTTGCTGTACATATTTGAAATTAAATTGAGTATTCTTTGTTCTGATAATAAGATTGTTCGTATGCATAAAATTGTCAAGTATTCAACTAATGTTCTCCTATTGTTCGAAAAAAAAAACATCTAATACATCGAAGTTGGAATGTAATGTGTACAAAAAATTCTGTCGTATTTATCTCTTTTCAATAGATAAAAGCGTCTCATTAATCGTCAATGTATTCGATAAAAATATTTCGAAGAAAAAATAAAAAGAAACGAGCAAGTGTTAATATAACAATTTCATGCAATAACAAGGCAAAGAAATAAAAGCAAAATAATGAAAAATATGCGTCTTATGTTAACTTTTTTACATACTATAATAATAATTTGTGCTACAATTAATTTACATCCTCATTTAACTGATGTTGCCTATGCATCAGATCATAAAAAACGATTTTCAGCTACTTTTGGCTATGTTATAAATTTAATTTATATTTTACTCTATCATACGGTTAGTATTTTAGCTGTATGGTTTAGTCGTTATGATGCTGGTATAGTACGAGCAAGTGGAATTTTATTACTTGGTGAACTATTACAAGTTACTGGTTGGATTATTCAATATACATTGAAGAGAGAACATATCGGAGGTGGTGAACTTTTTTTTACTATAATATTTGGTTTGTTGTTATTAACAACAATATTAATTACATTTCGATTAGCAGAAAATATTTCCAAACATCAAAATAATTCTATGCAATTGAAATTACTATCCGATTCTGTAAGTGACATATCGATGGATAATGAAAATGAACCGTCATGGGTTTAAAATAAAAGAAATTTTCTTGTATTTTATTAGATTGATATTTGAAATAAAAATAAATCAAATTATTACTAAGCGTATTATTTCTTTAATAGAAACGCCAACAAAAAAAAAAAAAACTTTTGATTACATTAAGAAATATACTATTTTTTTAAATTATTATAGTAAAATAAAAATAATTATTCATAGAATTTATTCAAATGAAAAAAATTCGAAAACGAAATTTTTTCGTGTCAGATTTTATCTCAAGTTCATCGAATTTTTATGACATAAATTTTGATATTTGAATTTACAAAAGAAAAAAATAACATGTTATTAACCTTTTGATAATCGGGGATGGATATATGCATCATGAGCTTTATCATCATATGAAACTAATGTAATCATTTATAACAATACATTGGCGTAAAATCAAATATTAAACAGCAAAAGCTTTCCACATGATCATTTTGTTCCGGTACGTATTAGACTCACGCGTTAAGAAACGAAAATGTACATAGTATAAGGCTACTCGATTTTACGTATGTGTATCTTTTATCGATAACCAAAGCGTTAATATTTCAGAGATAATATCGAATTCTTGTCTTTATAGGGCAAAATCTTTTTTTTTGATCATATTTCAATCGATACAATTATATAATGAAGCAAATTTTTCATTATTCATCGAAATACAACGATTTCTTTTTCTTTTCTTGGTTCTCATCGGCTAAAAACAATTTAAATGGATGAATTTTCGTTCATTGATAATAATAAATTAATAATCAAAATTTTTTGTTCAGAATTGAGATTACATTTAAATTATAATTCGTGTAATATGGGTCAATCATACATTACATATCTATTATTAATCATAATACTTAACAAGATGTTCTTCAATTCAAGTTCATGAGAAAATATGATATAATCTATTATCAGATGCTATGAAAATTATTCATAAAATGATTTAATAACTATCAAATTGGAATTTCATATTCAAGATGTATTGAAAAAAAAAGAATTCTTCTTATTCCTCGTTCTTTCATTGTTCTTATTGTCTTCTTGGTTTGATAAGAAATATCCGAACAAAAAATAAAAAAGAAATTGCCGATTGCATTTATTGATTCATTTCGAAGATTCAACGGCACTCACAAACGTACTTTTATAGTATATTCAAGATACATTTTTATCGTATGTGTCTGATTTTACTCCATATAAGTAGTTCATTATGTTATTTACCTTATCTTATGGTACACATAATATATCTTTCATTTAATTCAATTTCATTTCAATCAAAATTTGCTTATATTACCTTTTGATTTAATTATTGTCTACTTGTTATTGGAATTTTAATTTGGTGTCTTTTTGTTGTTTGTCGAAAACAAACACCATGGCAAATTATACAAGTATCTGGATTTTTATTAATTGCCAAATTAATTTATACAATACTTGATCTGATAACAAGAATGCTTTTACAACATAAATTTATCATAGTTATTTTTGATGTAATACATATTATAATTTTATTTCCGGGTATTTTAATTACTTTTTTTTACTTGTTCGACATGTTAAAAGAATAATTATTATATAAAATGAATCTCAATCATAATAGATCAATTGATATAAATGCAAAATAAACAAAAAAAAAAACACACGATTTAAAATGATTCAGAATTTTATTTTTCTGCGTTTTATTTTGAAGAAAAATAAACCAATATGATTAAGTAGTATTATCTTTAGATTTTAAAGATTTGAATATCAAAGCAAAGAAAATTGAATTAATCGTTTATCATTTTAACTTGTTATGTCAATCATTTATTGATATAAAAAGTTTTCACAGTATTATTAAAATAATTTTAAGGAAAAATAATGAAAAAAAACGCCGGATTGTATTGCAATAACTCTGATGGAAATGAAATTGCTTTAGAACTATTATTAATTTTTTCATAATTATAAATCATTCAATGTATAGATTAACTCTCCTCCCTTTAATTATTTAATTTCTCGAAGAATTGGAACTAATTACTATGTTCACATGAAAATATGATCAGTTTCAGGATTTCGAGTTGATATTTTGCTCATGAGTGGACCTTAGTGAGCAATATGAAATTAATGGCAAACACTTTTTGGTGACTATTAAAAAGTAGGAAGCTGTAGATCTTTATCCGAGTGAACTTGATGATAACTATAGTGACGAATAAAAGTTTAGAGCAGTTGTAATTTTGACTTTTCTTCTTGATGATAATAGGTAGGCAAAATCCGAAAAAACATTTGAGTTGTTGAAAGAATTTTCTATGAGAATTGCTGGACCTAAAAGTTCCAATAAACTACTTGGATGAGAATTAAGAAAACCAAAACTCTCTCAAAACTACTTTTCTAGGATCTATTTAAAGCTTATTGGAAATGGTTTTATTTGATTGAGCAAGATGAGATGTCTCAATTCTCTTCATCGAATTGTATTCAATTTATAGAAAGTCCCCAAACGTCAAACACGGCGAAATCATTGAAATTTTTTATAAAAACAAAAGAAAAATGCTTCTTTGATCTTCTATCAATTGAATACAGTTCGATGAAGAGAGGCCAGACATCTCACCTTGCCCTATCGAATAAAACAATTTCCAGAAAGCTTCAAATGGATGCTAGAAAACTAGTTTTAGTGGTTGCGGTTTTCTAGACATCCTCATATAAGCAGTTTTATTGGAGTCTCTAGATTCACCGGTCCTGTTAGAGAATCCTTTCAAGTACTCAAATGCATTTTTCAGATTCTTTCAAACAATTACCATCGAGCAGAAAACTCAAAATTACAACTGTTCTAAACTTTTTATCCTTCAGTATGTCCACTCTCAAAAAGATTTACAGGCTCCAATCTTTTAAAGATCACCAAAAAGCCTTTGTCATTACTTTCGCATGCATGGAAAATACTCAAACAATTCAAGGTTCGGCAAGAAACATTCTTTAGAGGCTTTCCATAGCTCATCAAGGCCTACTTATGGACAAAATATCAACTCAAAAAAACACGCACATCTAGGAATGTTTTCTCGTCAGATCAGCGTTATTTATGAATATTTTAAATCTTAAAAATATCTTCTTAAATCTTCCAAGTCCCTATGGTTATCTAAAAAAAAGTTGTCATTAAAAGTTATGAGCATAAAAGAAGGTCCGCGATCTTCTTTTGTGCAGGTGATAGCTGAATGTAGTGTTAATTTTAAAAAAAAGTTTTAAATTCAAAACAATGATGATAGACATTCTTCATAATACTTTTTAATAACAGTGATCTAAGTGATCGATTTAAAGTACTTTATGTATGATTTATTCAGAAAAAAAAAATATGTGAAAATAATGAAAAAAAAAAATCTTTTATCCTATTTGGATTTTGATGTAAGATATTCGTTTTCTCGAATAGCCTATAAAAGAAAATAAACATATTTATTTTAAAAAATAGATAAAAGTCGAAGAAACTTACTTCTTGAAAATCTTTAAGAACTTTAGCATATTGTCGTGCTTTTTCTATTAATTGTGCCAATTGTATATTTAATACATCACGTTTTGATTTTTCTTCTTGTTGACGTCGTTCAATTTTAGCTCGACTTTGTTTAACACTTTCAACGATACCTTCTAATTGTTTAAGAAAATGTTCTTTACCTGTTGATGATAAAATTGCTCTAAAAATTTTTTTATATAAAGTAAAAAAATTCTGTTTTTTTTTTTTGGAAATCATTAACGCACTGTGAATAACCATCATTAATTGATTCAATTAATGTTATTTCTTTAGTCATATAATCAATCATATCAGTAAATGTATTATATAATGTATAATTTTGTTTTGTTTGTCGATATAAAACTGCACTTTGATTATATAGTTGAAAAAATGCTTGACGATATTGAGCTAATTCACTTGATGATGGAATATCATCAATACGTCGACTAAGTGCAGATATTTCACGTACTTTTTTTGCCTGAAAAATTTTCAATTATTTTCAATTGATTATCAAGTTCTGCTATACTTGAAATGTTTCTACTAACGAAAAGCTTTAAATGAAATATGATGAAATCAATATTGAAAGAAGATTTCAAATTCAAAAATGGGAGAAAGAAAAACAAGCGTTGAAAACAATAGTGAGATAGATTTTAAAGAATAATTGACAAGCATCGATTTGTTTTTTCAACTATTTACTTTTCAGACTTTACATTATGAATAAAGATGAAGATAACCGTCCCAGCAAGTTTTTGGGAGTTTTATCGAATAAGAATTCAATTGTTGAGTAGCAAAAACAATGATTTTCCTAACAAAAATTCTGGTTAGCAAGCACTTAGCTGCTAAAAACGTTTGTCTAAATGTTAGAAAAGTTTGCCAAAAATCCTTGGTTTTCTAGGCAAGTATTAGGAAAAAAACTAACTCACAATAGAAGGTCACTTATGGATTAGCGACGTGAGTTCTCATAAGAGGAAGTCATGACATTTTATTTTTCAGGGAAGGGAAGCTACATTAGATGATACTGTATTTGGTAAAACTAACGAGGGAAATACTCGAGATTATCAGCTCCATTTTGATTCATGCAAACCTTGTTCGATGGATTATATAAACGTAAGAAAAAGCCTAAAAGTACTCGCATCTTTAGCCGACCGAACAGGAATTCTGTCCATTTTACTGACGAGAAAACCTCTTCAGATGTCAAATCGTTTTTCGGCTAAGACGATGTTCATTTGATGAGTAATAGAAAAGTCTAGAATAGGTTTTTTTTCTGGATCTTTGTTCTTGAGATATCGAAATTTTACGAGATTTTTTAACAAAAAGCTGCGATCTTCCTTAGGTCATGTGGAAAATCAACTTTCGAATATTAACTGCAAACTTTGCACAAACAAAGTTGTCAATGAGATTAGTTGATGGTGCAAGTTTTAGCTTTCTTATCATTTCTTTTGTAGAGATATAAATATATGAACAAAATTAACTTTTCCACATGAGAGAATTTCGAAAATTGAATATCTCAGAACAGAAGATACTGGAAAATTTACCACTTGCCAAAACTTGAAAGTCGAATTTTCACATGATCTGAGGGAAGCACAGGTTTTTATTGAAAAATCCAGTAAAATTTCGATATCTCGAGAACGAAGGTCTGGAAAATTATATCATTCTAGGCTTCTCTATTACTCAATAGTGTTCATCAAATAAACATCGTCTCGGTCGAAAAACGATGTGACACTTAGAGAGGTTCTCTTATGAGCCTTTTATTGAGAACCGTTCATTTCCAAAAAAACCAAAATTAAGAATTTCCCTTTTAAATAGATTCAACTCTCATTAGATAATCCTGTAAAATTTCAGCGGAAACGAGCATGTCTTTCTCGAAACATTTAATGTCCAAAAAAAAAAGACCAACGATTTACCATATGAGGATTCAGCAATTGAGTCTACTTGAAAATTAGATGTTCCGAGAAAGACATGTGCGTTCACATTGATACTTTCGAGACTATCTAATAACTGTTAAATCTATTTATAGACAAAACTCTTCATTTTAGTTTGTTTCGAAAATGAGTGGATTTCAATAAAATGGTCATAACTCTTCGCTGATAGACCATGAGCACGAAACTTTTCAGACATTTCCTTACGTTAATATAATCTGTCGAACGAAATATGAATGAATTAAAACGGAGCTATACACTTTTGGTACTTCCCTCGTAAGCTTCAAGATGCAGCGTCTATTGAACAAAATGACCCATGTCTCACATTCACTCTTTAAATGACCAAATTTTAAATTCTTCAAGACTACACTTCTTTCTTCTAGAGTTCTTCGATTATTCAGATGAATATCATAACAAACTAGAAATTTTATTTAAGATGAGAATAATAGTTTACCATGACAAGACGTTGTGTTTGTAAGCGATCAGACACCGTTTGATATTGTTCTTCAATTTGTCTCATTTTTTCATTTTCTGTATTGTCTACATCAGTTGATGAATGTAAACGTGCTTGTAATTTCTCAATTTCTTGTTCAAGTTCATTCTTTTCATTTTTATACGTTGTACGTCGTTCATTTTCTTCTTTTTTTGTTGTTTCATAATCAGCAACAAATGCTTGAACACGTTTAAGAGCCCTAAAAAAATTTGAATTTTATTATTCGAATACAAAACAAAATATTTTTCTTATTACTCAGGATTAACATTTTGTGTTTGCATTTCAATTTGTTCAAGTTCTTCTTTAAGTGATTCATGTTGTTGTTTAAACTTGATATAAAAGAAAATTTATTGAATCAAAAAATAATTTGTATATTAATAATTTACTTCAAATGCTGAATTTTTTGTTTCTTCTTTTTTATTTTGTAATTCTTCAATATTTTTTTGTAAAGTATTTATTCTTTCTGTTTGTTTATTTAATTGTACTTTAAATGTACGTATTGCTAATTGTTGTTGACCACTTTCAGATAAAAGTGCTTCTTCAAGACGGGCTTTTTCCTTTGAAAGAATATTTTATTAAAAGAAGTGAGATCGATAACTGTTCAAATTGAACTACCTCGAGAAATTTGATTTCTACTATGTCAAACTATCATACAATGTGTCCGAAAGTGGATCCTATCGACGATAAAATTAAATACTTCAAAATAGTATAAAGATATCGAAGAAATAACAGTAGCAACACAAACGAATCCTTAGGATATTGTTCTCGAGACAGGATTTTTAGCCTTTCTCATTGGTATTCAATAAGGTTCGATATGAAAATTACGCTTTAGATGAAAACTAATTTGATATTCTGAATAAGTGTCCCAAAAAAAAGTGGACTTATGTGTATTTCAAATATTTTGGCAAACTGTGTTTTTCATTGAAAAATTTACCGTGGTCCCCGTCAGGATTAGGTCAAAAAATGAATTTCATGAAAACTGTTTTTATAGTTTATTCATCTGCGATTTAAAGTTCTACTATCGTTTTATAATCTTAGAACTCGGTTCCCACTATAAAAATAACTTTTCAATGAAATTCCTTTTTTTGACCCAACTTTGAGAGGAACCAGAAGTGAACTTTTCAACGAAAAAAAAAGTTTGTAAAAATATTTCAGATACATATAAGTCCACTAATTTTTCGATGCTAATTTAGAACATCATATTAGTTTTCAACCAAAACACAATCTTCTCGATATTTTTATACAATTTTGAAGCGCTTGAACAGTGTTAATTATCATAAACGATCGAACTCAATGTATATGTGGCCGCGATTGACTTTTCAGTCATTTCTGTGCACAGGATAAATAAGTGCTTTATGAATAATTTTATCAGTGCTCATGTTTGGACATCTCGTGTGATAACTTGACATAGAAGAAACCGAATTTCTAGAAACAGTCATTTTCAACAGTTATCGACCCTCTTCCTTAATAATTTTGGTTTTTTTTTTCATTTACTTTTTCTTCAAAATCTTCGATTATTCCACGTAACGTATCTTGTTGTTGATTAACTAATGAATTAACAATTTGTGTAGTAATTTTTGACTAAAAATTGAATAAAAAAAGAAAAAGTTGAATTGACTATTTTTGAAGAAAAAGATGTTATACTTTTTCATCAATCATATTTTTAATTAATGCATCAACATCTTGTTGTGGTTTTTCATTTCCTGTTGATGTATCCAATAATTGATGCACTTGACCAAATTCAACAAGAGTAGAATGTATTCGTTTACGACGTTCATCAGTATTATTTAACCGTTTCTTTTTACTATCTAAACAACGATAACGACGTCTAGGTCGATGACGAATCTAAAATTAATTTTTTTAAATGATCTTTTAGTTTTCGATGTAAATGTCCTTTACTCGAATATCTTCAACATTTTCTTTAAATGACGTTGATTTTGTCTGTATGAATAAAAAATGTATTATATAGAAAGATTAATTTTTGAATGCTTCTTTTTTTTTTTTTTTTACTTCATCGATTAATTCACCAAATTGTTTATTATATTGATTTAACGCATAAGCACGATTTAAATCACCGATTTCAGCACGTCGTTCAAATACACGTTTAACAAGCCATTGGACAACCGGAAATATATGTATAAAATCACCACCTTGAATTTGATAAGGTTCAATTGCATGTGGACATCTCATACGAGATAATACAAGAATAATACGTTCTGTTAATGCTCTAATGAAATAAAAAACAAAAAGATTATTTCTAAAATAAATAGAAACATATTTTCATACATTTTTTGACCAAGAATAGCATTTTCTTGATAGAGTACATCAATATCAACAGCAAAATTACATGCTTGAATGCTCCAGGCAAGTCCACCGACTACCTATAAAATGAATATTGATGAACAATACATATCGTTGAGAAAGAAAAATTACTTTATCAAAATCAGATAAACCTTTGATGCGCACACGAAAATATCCAGCAGCTAATAATAATTCCATTGTTTCGTCACATTTTGCTTTTTGTTCAGGATCTTCACGTACATCGAACTAATTAGAAAAAATATGTACTCAAGAAAAATTTTTATTTATTCATTTAAAAAAAAAACTACCTTTCCTAGCATGGCCATTTTGATGTAAAATGCAGAAAGATAGTTTTAGCGCAGTTCTTTTTTTTGCGTCTGTGTGTTGGTTAAGTGGTAGCAAAAGAAAAGAGGCCTTATCATTTGAATAAAGGACGAATAAGAATAAGAATAAGAACAACTACACTATCTCTCTCAATTTACCTTTTCGTTTCACTTAGAGAAATAATTTATTTCATTTTTTTTAAAATTTATTATATCTGTTTGTATTTTTTTATTTCATTGATAATAATAATAATAATATTCGATTTATTTTTTCTTCAGATCTCTATTTATGAGCAATTAATTAATTATTTACACAAAGCAAAGAACAAATGCATTCTTTGACCTTATTCTATTTCTTCTCGTTTTGGTGAGTGCAAACTGTGTTTGTTCATTATGAAACGATCGTCTCGCCATTCATCCATCGATGATGCAGTCTATGTATAGGCGTCTGCTGCCCTCCCTTTCTCTTTCTCTTTCTCTTTACTCTCACTTCAGGTATACATCCACCATCAATGTCGGCTCAGTATAGAAGAGAAAAAAGAAAAAAAAAAGAGAAAAGAGCGCGAGAGGGAGAACAACACTCCATGTCCAGACAAATGACGAGTGGGTAGAGTATCTCGCAGTCTTGAATCTGCTGCAAAATACTCTTGTTTTTATGATATAGTATATGATCAAATGAAAATTATTCATTCGTACGATGTCCTCGTCACCATCTGTTGTTAACAATCATCTATATCATGATACTTCATCATCGTCATCATCATTGTCTATTTCACCATCTTGTTCCACTTTGGATACTTCTCAAGAAGAATTTATTTTATTAAATGATAAATCTAGTCAAAAACAATATGATTCTATATCAAATGATAAAAACAATTCTATGTATTGGTCACAACGCTCAAGAAATAATTTATCAGCTAAACAATCACGTACTAAAAGACGTATGAATGATTTTGTATTAGAAACTAAATTAACACAATTAACTAATGAAAATGAAATACTACGCGCAAAAATGAATATGTTAATAAGAAAATTTGGCCATTTAATTAGTCAAAAAGATAAACAATTTGAATATGATGAATTAACATCAGATGAACAGCCAACTGTTTTAAATATTCTCGATCAATCATCAACACAAATAAATCATTCAAATAATCATTTATCATTGACTACTACAACCGAACAATTATCTTTAGAGAAATCTTCAATACCAATTAAATGGCGTTTTAAGTTGTTAAATATAACATCTGATTCCTAATATGATTTTTGAATAAAATATATCAATTAATTTCATGTTTTATAGAAATTAAAATTAATGAAACATTGTACTATCATGTAAAATTATCTTATGAAATCGCTAAGGTTCGAATGACTGTAATGATCTTGAACTCGACAGTGTCAAAAAAGTAAAATGTCGAATAAAATAGAATTTTGAATAGTTAAAATTTCGAAAAATGAAACCTCAAAAGATATCGTCTCATTCCATTACCACTTAGCTAGTTTCATGTAAATCACATAGTTCATTGTCTCAAGAGTAGAACTCATCGGAATGGTCCTAGATTCGGACTCAATCGGGTGCGAATCCAAAAATTTTGGATTCGATTGGCTCTATTCAACAGAGAAGAAGTTATTATTCGTCAACAAATGCTGAAGATGATGACAGGTGAAAAGAACAAACAAAAACAAAAAGAAATCTGTTACATTTCAAAAACGATTTCGTTCAGTTCGATTGTTATTTGATTAAAATGAAATAAGTTTTGGTGATATTTTAGAGGAACTTTCTGTATTAGTTGAGACAAACAAATGACCTTTTCTTGTTAACATTTTTTTACGATTTTTCTACTTCGTTAATGCATTATCATAGATATTTAAAATAAAATATAAAGTACGTACAAACACATGTTGTTTGATTATTACACTTATATCATATACTGTAAATTGTTCAAGATTTTTTTCTTTTAAGAATTGGTTGTTTTTTCGAGCTTTTCTACATCGGACCTAAAGATCCACAGGACTAACAGACTATATTTATTTCTACATTAAATATTCTTTTATGACTTAAAAATGAATGTATAATGCTCGATAATTTTTATCTTCATAGATATGTTGTTAAAAACCATTAGACCAAATAGTTTTTATGTTTTGTATCAAAGAAATCTGATGATGATTGATATTTGTAGTTCAAGTGTAAATAGAAAAGTTTAACATGTTAAGTAAATGACGATAAATTATATTTATCGATTAGGAGAAAAAATGATACGCGAGTTCATTAATCATGTGATTTGATTTATAACAAGTTGTGTACAATCATGTAAACTGGTTTATGTCTTGTTCTTTTTCAAATATTATCCAGAGATGCAGAATCTACCCGTATGCGCCACCACCGCGGTTGAGAAAATTTTTGAGAAATTGTCAAGTATCGGGAAATTTTGCGAAAGACGATTCATCCTGCAGGGAAAAATCACAAACTCATTAAACAGAGTCTCTGATTTGCCTTGCTCTTCCTTTGGTTATTTATTTATAATGACCCTCTTACTTCTTTGTTTTCTTTCCTTTCTTGATGTATCGTTCGTTCTACTCGTTTTTCTTTTTCTATCCTGTGTCCATCGCTTTTTCTCTCAATCTTCGTTGTATTTTCTAGATCGCAACATTTATTCGATATAGAATTGTTGAAATGTTTTCGAGCAGAGAACAAGGAATATATTTTTAGTGAAATACCTCGCTTGGACATCTGTTTGTTACGTATAAATATGCTAAAATAAATAAGGATTTCTGATTTTCTGAGCTGGGGAAATTTTTCAGAAAGTTTTTACCAGTTGGTGAAACTTTCCAATTTTATGGTAGATTCCGCACCTCTGGTCGTGAATGATTTTTCATCCATAATGACACGAATAGTTACATAGTCGAATATTAAGCGTTCTCATAAGTTAATTACTTAAAAAATTAATTTTATTTCGGCAAGTCGATTGCTACAGAGCACAAGTGAAAACTACAACATCGATTTGTATCTTCCATACACAGGTCAGGTTTTTCGGTTGGTTCACAGATCTTGTTGTGCAGTTATCAGTACGTATGTAAGTAACGATGAAAAAACGAAAAAAAGTACAAGAAACAAACAAGTCTCCATCTTGTCTCTCTTTACTTTTGGGCGTACACGACTTATCTTTTATTTTAATAGTATGTCATCTTTGCTTTGCCTCTTTCATCATATACCTTCTACGCTATTCGGCTTGTCCAAACGTAATGCTGTTAAGATTTTGACACACTATTTTTTGTATTATCTCGCAAGGTTTCAGAGTTAGAAATTCTTTCCAACGCTAGTCGATGCAGCTTGTTACACTGTATTTATGCTATAAGCAAGACTTTTATTGGCTGAAGGCTTGAGCTTCTAGGAAGATTTTATCATCACTTAGTGCTATTACATAAAAAGATCCTTTTTCTTCAGTGTCGATGATAAGACTCTAATTTCTTGCAAAAGTATTTCTCCATACGAAACACTTCTATAGTCAATTTTGTAGAGTATCAAACAAGTTTTTAAGCGGTGAAAAAAAAAGATTTTCTCTAAACTATTTTATGCTCAGCTAAAAAATGCAACAAATAAACGTAACGCTATTACTTTTATCGACCGATTGTAAGCCACTTAACGGGTTCAGAAATATTTTATTTTCATATATATTGGACTTTTCTCTATATATAATCATTCTATGCAACAATTAAGTTGCTACATCAAAATCAGAGTTCATTAACTATACAGTAAGTTGGAAACTGTATAAGTAATATACAAGTTGTTCTTAGCAACAAAACGTCAACAATAAATTAGTCATCTTGTAGAGAATTAAAATCTACATTGAGTGATATGTCATTTAGCATTACTTAAAAAATTTCATGACTATGAAATTTAAAATACGATTTTTGAAAAGTATAAAACTCCGATCTCATTGCCAAAATCGAATTTAAAAAAAAGCAAATGTTAAACTTGTAATTAGTATGAAACACTACACCTAATAATTCATTTAGATCTGTCCAATTCGGAAAAAATTTGTCACAACCTTCAGCAACAAAGTGTTGCATCATGTGGACAAGCCGTATTCCTTGTTTATGGTTGATATGAATTTAATTTTCTCTGAGAGTCACAACATCAGTATGGTTTTCTCTCACTCTTCTCTGAGATAGGCAATAGGAGATGTCCTTGTTCATTTGAACACTATAAAGAATATCTCATCACTGAATAAACGTGATAGATGCATAATCATTGATTAAACCTTTCTTTTTTTCTATCATTTACAGTCACATCAGAAGAGAAAAAAAAAGGAGAAAAGGACTATTTGAATGCATATAAGACTCAAGGTTTTATATGCATAGATAGACATCACTATGAATATATATGTACGATTTTTTCTTTACATTGATGACGACATGCATCGCTACCTACGAGAAAAAAATCACATTCTGAGCGCAAAAGATGAATCTATCTCTGTCGTCATATGTGAGAAGAAAATATTTTATGGAAAATTCTTCTATACTAGGCAAACAACGAATATATAAAGCCGAAACATCACTGTGAAACCACATGATTCGATCACTTCTTTACATTGATCTACCATTTTCTCCTCAAATACCAAAAAAACAAATACCAAAAAACAAAAAGCAACAATGAAGCAATCTTCCATAATGATTCGTTTGGTCATCGTTTGGTATTGATGCCAACAATCTACACGGTAGAAGCGGTTCTAATTGGAGATACAGATGCTATACGCATTCACCATCATACACTGAATGAACGTCTGTTTCTTCGCTCATCGCAAGGCTTTAGGTCTCAGCACCCGTCATATACTCAAAGTCAATTTTTTTCTTTAAATTGAACAAAATATTTGAGTATCTCTTATGATTATTTGTTCGTCTTTAACGTCTTTCAATATGTAAATGGCTATTATTGTGTCTTTACAAAGAGATGCATATTTGAATAGGATGTTCAAATCAGGTATGTTCTGACGATATAGACTGTTGATCATAACCTATCGAGAGAATGCCTTGATAATGTATTCTATCATTTATATTTTCTTCTATGAGTTTATTATCATTTGCAATATTTTATGCTTTTAAATTAATTTAATACTTTTATGAAATATAAACTGAAATAAGTCTTGAAGTATAGGGATAAAAATTTCAACTTCCTCGGTGCCCTCACATAGCATGATAAAGACTATCCATAAAGTATCATTTACTGTGCTATAAATTGTTAATATACGATCACAGACTGTATATCCAAACATATCTCGTTATAATATATGAATTAATTTCTTATGACATTCCTGAATAATTAGAAGGAGTTTGAAGAAATGTATCATTTTAATCTCGTAAGGATTACATTAACAACTTTATTTTCTTTGTAGAGCATATAGTGCGAAAACAAATTCATACTCTTAAATGGTCTGCATGGTACCATCAATGATCATCAAAACCAACGAACAGTATCGACTAGCTCGTCTTTGTCATTTTATATACTCTGTAATTTTTCCTTTTGATTTTTTCTGTATTTCAATTAATTTATTTGTATTTCGTTCAATGAAATACATTTAAATGGACTAACAATGAACAAGACGAGTTCATTAATAATTATTTTTGGGAATTTATTTCAAAAACACTTGTGAATATTTCAGAGTGATCCTCAGTCCATTTTATTAACACAAATCACTAGTAAAAGATATTAAAAAAAATTTGTTTTTACTATTTATAACTCTTTTTTTCTTGTTTAACATTGCAATGTAAGGAAGCGAAATGTTTGCTTGTGCATTGCAATATTAAAGAAAAGAAGAACGAAAAGAAAAGAATTATATAAGTAATGTTTTTATTTTTTACTTTATATTTTTTTTAATTTCTATTTGATATGAGTTACATATTTATTTTATTTTTATGTTTTGTTTTTATTGTTGATATGTATAAT